CATTTACAAATGAGTCTATTGATAGATGGACAGTGCAGGATAGGTGGGACTATATATGTTAGTCACTCTACTTCACATAATATTTCTAATGTTTTTTCCAGGATTATTTAGACTTTTTGCTGCAACTAACATGGTTCTTCTAAAAAAAAAAACCTAGGGAATCAAAGAGCACACATTTGGCACTTAGATCTTGCCCAGGCTGTCCTTATGGTATACTTGCTGGACAGTCCTCAGATTTAAAATTTATTAAGGTAGAACAATCTTATCGGGTCAGCTGTTCCAACTGTATTTTAAGTAACTGTGTTGATCCTATTTCAATTAAAAATTATTCAGTTATTTTGCTATTACAAAGACCTTCTTATGTTATATGTCCTGTAGATTTAAAAGATGATGTTTGGTTTGACAATGTAGCCATACAAATGCTTAAAAGTCTTAATGAGCTAATTAGATCAAAGGGTTTTGTTGTTTTGTTTTAATTTTAGGCATTAGTGCTTTAATAGCCATCCTTACTTCACTTAGTCTCAACAGTCGCCTTAGTCTTAGACATGAAGACTCTTTATTTTGTTAATAACTTAAATAAAAATGTCTCTTTAACACTTGGAAGGCAATTAATTATAGATAAAAAATTAGAAGTAATACTTGATGCTCTAGAGGATGTAGTTTTAGCACTAGAACAAGAGGTGGAAAATATTAAAATTCAGCTTTCTACCAAGTGCCATGCCAGCTTTTGGTACATATGTGTAATGCCATTACCTTATAATGAAAGTCATAATTGGAATTTTACTAAAAATCATTTGTTGGGAATTTGGAAAAACAATGATATTACTCATGATATGGTTCGATTACAAACCCAAATCTTCACTATGAGCAAAGCACGTGTTGAATCTACTGGCATAGAGGATTTGGCTCAATCTATTAGCTTTGGTTTACAGTCATTAAACCCTGTTAGTTGGCTACATTGGATCATTGTTGTTGCCATGGCTACAGGAATAACTCTTCTTCTTCTTCTTCTTCTTCCTCTTCTTCTATCTCTTCCTCTTCTCCTTCTTCTTCTTCCTCCTCCTCCTCCTCCTCATTTTTCCAATCATCTTCTAACTAGTCTCTTCCTCCATCTCTATAGCCAAGAGAGATATTTATGAGCTTCAATTAAAAAATAAAAAAAGGAAGAGATGCCACACCAACCCCAATAGAATCTGTGTGACAAGATTCTCACAGACTGAGGTGAAACTTCAAAAGAAGGAGGACTCTGGGAAATGGTTGTGGAACTCTTGGCCAGAACAAAATATTGAGCCATAGTTCTCATGGGAATTTATCTGTTTTATTTTTTTATTCCTTTTCTTATTTACGAGATGTTCCTGATAGCCTAGGCTAAGATCTTAAGCAAGAAAAATGGGTAAGAAACCATCCCTTGAGATGGGGTTACTAGCCATGACCTTATCTCTGGGAAAACCAGTGTTTTACTTCATAAATCATTTATAAAATTACATAATAGTATTTTGATAAAAACTTTTCCAACAATAAAAGTTCATTTGGCTGCATGTGTGTCATCAGAAGTAGGCTTTGGTATATGGTAAAGGAAGCCTTAAATAAAAAGAATTAAAATAGTTAAAATTTACACTTTGAAGATTTAAAAAAAATCAGGCACTAGATGTTAAACAATAACTAACCATAAAAATGTATTAACCTGCTTTTGGAAATATGACACTAGCCTTGGATGACTGTCCCAATAAATACATCTTTTCAGAATTGTAATACTTGGATGATTTTTACTGTGCCAAATAACAATGATGTCACCTGTTCTATCCGTGCTTGCTTTACTGAATACATCTTTTAGAGTGGTAATACTTGCATTATTTTTGTGCTTTACTGTGCCAAATGTCGTTATCTGTCCTGTCCATGATTGTTTCACTGAATACATCTTTTCAGAGTTGTAATACTTGTTTTTTAATGTATAAAAACCCTTGCTTGAGAGCTGCAAAATACACTCAGATTCTAACTGTCTCTGTGTTTGTTTCTGTTTGCCACCACCGAATCCTTACCCACCTAGCCTTCAAGGACCCTTGTCCCAGGGTCTCCCATACCCGCCTGAGGTGGTCCGTGGCAGAAAAGCAATCATGCACAAATGAAATCTATGCAGCTGTTGTCCAGGGCTAAGGTTAGGAAACATGGGAACACACTTTCTTTTACAAAGAGCTGTCATGGGCTACCGAAAGGTTCCCATCCTGGCTTACTTTGGGCAGTCCCTTATTTCAGATGGCAGGTCCCCTGGAGGGATGTGTCTCCTACCTCTCAGGGTCCCAGATGCTATCTTATCCATTTTTACAAGGAGCTGCCATGGGCTTCTGAGATGTCTCCATCCTGGCCTGCTGCAGGCATTCCCTGTCATGGTATGCTGTCCTCAGCACTAGTGTTCTAGCAGGCTCCCAGCATAAAACAGAGACTGGACTGTTAGTCACAGGAAGATTTCTGTTTTGTTTCTTTTTGTTTTTGTTTTTATTGATTTTTGTATACTGCAATTTTACTATGTCCTTAATTGGTCCATGAGGTTTCTAGTAGACTCCACATGGTCTTTTAAGTGAAGAATCCTACTTTAGCTAGAAAGAGTTTCACTTCCTTGCTTTCTAGTATTATGCCTTATGTCTTTCTCTTGTGTGGTTGCTATAGGTAAGACATTCACCATTATGTTGAACAAGAGGGCAGGACTGTCACCATTGTTCCTGATTTCAGAGGAAATGCTCCAAGTTTGTCTCTATTTAGTACAATGATGCCTATGGGTTTGTTGTACTTAGCCTTTATTATTTTGAGGTATGTTCCATCTACTCCTAACGTCTCCAAAACTTTTATCATGAAGGCATGTTGAACTTTAACAAACGCTTTTATAGAGTCAATTGAAATAATTATATGTTTTCTGTCCTTGAGTTTATTTCCATCCCTTTTTTAGAATTTAACATTTCCTCAATATTTCATAAAGGTTTACTATACACTTGTGATAACTTTCCATTGAATTATTCAATAAGTTTTATTTTGTATATCTAAATTAAAAAAGCCAAGTTTACTATGTAAAATTTAACTCAAATATCATTTGATAGCTACAGTTTTAATATCAGGAACTGACACAGGACAAGCTAATAACTACCAGGTGACCTTTCTGAGATGAGTCTGCTTTGGATTATTAATCTATGACAGATTTTTCTCTGATAAGCAAGGCTCATTAGAAATTCATTTTAGGAAAGATTCCTGCTATTAATATGCTTTTTCTGTTATTATTAAGTACAATCACTAGGTATTAGCCCACCCTTTTGAGCAGATCTCTGTAGAACTGTACAGATGTGTAGTGATGCTATATAGACAAATACATTACTTCTTAATTCTTAATGATGATCTTAGAAGAATTCCTAAAATTATATCAGTATTTATTAAGCTCTTTTATAGTGGGACTGCTATTAGGTTCTCTCTGATGATCAAAATTGCAATGAGAATTCTGCTAGTCCACAAGTGTCACCAGTTAATTGTTTCTGAGATAGTAAGCAGTCATTCTATTACTCATAGCACATTTCAAAAGATTGTAAAACCATTAACCAAAGATCTTAAAAGGGAAACATAATGATTTATAATAGGTGATAGAACAGAAGATAAAATATTGACTGGGTTTATCAATAGAAAACTTCATTACTAACTTAGTTATGTTTTTTAACTCTCAGTGAGCCAGTGGAGCTGTGACAGGTGATGAATGTTTAGCCAGATAATTACTCCTGATGGATATGCATGTAACCTTTCTCTGTTGTAAACTTCTTGCACGATTTATGATTGGAATTTATGTGTAAACTTGTGATGAATTTTTTTTACCATGTGATCATGTATTCTGAAAGATGTGTAAGTGCTGAGGACAAAGAGAAGAGACAGAACTAAGCTGGTGGAGAACTTTTCAGACAGAATGCTTTTTAGATAGATCTGAACAGAATTTTCTAGAATAGAACAGAATAATTTTTTAGTCAGGACACAGAACACTATAGACAGAACTGGACTCAAGACTTAGAAGTAAAGGCGTAGCACTGGGAGAAAAGGCATTTAGAGTAAGAGCATTATTGTGACCTCAGAGCAGGAGGAGAGAGCAAGATTAGAAGGAGAATGCAGAGTGGAATGACTTAGAAACTATAAGGTAACATTAAAAACTAAGAGAGCAACGTGCTGAATGCAGAGAGAAAGAGGGGGAAAAAAAGCTGCAGAGAGAGAAGGAGCAGGCAGCTTCTCCTCACCATGGGGCAGAACAGGCCCTTTCTTAATAAGGCAGGCTTGGTCTTATTAAAAGGAACAGAGCTTTCTTCTTACAGACTTGAATTTAATTCATTCAGCATTAAAAGGGAAGAAACTTTTTCTTTCTCTGTGCGATAAAGATGGGAGCTCATTTATCATCCAGAATGAGTGAGTTCTTTCTGCACTGGTGCTTGGTCTTTTGTTTCTAATGCCTAAGTATAGATGTATGGCTAAGTATGTAATTATGTATACATGCAAGCTGGACCTAACTGATTTAAATGGAAGTATATAAATGTGCATTTGTGAACCTGTATGTTTATGTGAGTTTGTGAATACTTGCTTATGTCAGTTTTTTTCTTCTGCCAGCATGATTCTAGCAATTAATCCTTTACTTAATACCCTGCTGTTTAAGATGAGGTGCTAAATGCCAGAGACTGCAGTTTCTGGTCTCAAAGGGACTCAAGCAGGTCAGCTACAGTAGCAAAGTGACTTAGATTTAGATATGTAAATATTTTTATTAATTATTCTCCTAAGACCAATTCTTAGCCCCATATCTTGTAAAACTAAATCTTACCCACCTTGGACTCTCTTCCCCTTCTGCTGCCTCAAGAACTACAGCAAGAAAAAAGACCCTTCAGGGCTGGCTCCTGCTGTTACTTAGAGATACATGACTAAACTTTTTATTATTACTTTTTTTTTTCCAGTTAAAGGATACATTTTGAAAGAGAAAGCATTATAATAGGTTATAATAGATATTTTTGAAGTTTACTAAGTAAGCACAGGCCATGTAATTTCCTCATTTTATATAAGACAATTTGGAAATAGTCATATACAATTGTGAAAACTGCTATTATACATTGTTTATAGAAAATTGAAAAGAAACTGTACACCCCTCAATTAGCAAATGGAATTTCATCAATATGAAGGTTTACCAACTATTTTAAAAGATGTTTTAAGATAAAACATATTTTATATTCCTCATTAAGAAAGTAAAATATAAAAATGCCAACAGATTAGTTTTGTTCCAATGTGTATTATGATTATTTGACTGCATTAATAGACAAAACATCTGGGGATGTATTGCAAGCTCTTGGAATTTTACATTATCCATAATTTTGATCCTGTAATATCTAATAGATAACTCTTTCTCATACTGATGTCAATTCATGCACGGTATATTCTGTTTTGTCAGCAACAAACAGTTATTCATTTCCATATACTTGTCAAAGAAAGACCCATGACACAAAGTTCAGACTGACAACCAATTTTTCCAGAGGTATCAGAACGTTAAATGCAGCAGCATGACAATACAGCCAAAGACTTCGGGTGGTAGGTGGGGTTCAGGGTAGAAGAAGTACAGATGCTGAGGGTAGGCCCAGTTTTTGGAAGAGTTCCAACTAGCTGTCTTTCTCTTGAAGGTCATCCACAACAACGATCTGCAATGCCAGAGACCTGGGACTAAAACAGACAGGTTGAGGATCTGATTCTCAAGACACTGGAGTTTATCCTGAGAGACCCAATATCTAAGAAAGAAAGACACTTGTCACACAGCACCTGGACTAGTTTTAGATTTTCTATGCCATAAAAGCCCACTTCTTCACTCAAAATAACACAGCAACAATTATTTTGGACTGAATGTGCCAAGTCTACTGTGCTCTTCTACCAGCAGATGAACTCTTATCGGGTACACTCTTAGTTGCTTTTACAAACTATCTTCTCAAACTTTACAAAAATATCCTATTAAACATTTTCCAGTATTAGCATGAATACTTAAGTATTGTGAAGAAAATGTGGTATTTCATCCCTGTTTGCAGAAGAGTGAGCAGATTTTCTATAAAATGTCCTATTAAGCTCCATTTCACAGGGATAAAGTTATTGCCCTTAGTAAATAAAACAAGCAAGCTCTTTATCTTTTGATAACTTTATCATTGAAACACACAGAAGTAAACATTAGATTTATTATACCATATCATTATGCATCTGTTCCAGAGGTGAACCATACTTGGAGAAATTCATAGTCTTGGTATCTTGGCATTATAAATATTACTTCCTGGTACGATTTGAAATTACAAATGTGATAGTTAAAACAAGATCCTAAAATGTGTACATATGCTGGAGAACCAGCTGGTGATTTTTTTAGGGGGTGGGTTGTTGTAGTCAGTTATAAGTCTCAAATCTTACTATATCAGTGAGATCACAGAAAAGAACATTGTGTCCTAAGCATAAAGCTAGAAAAACAGCATTTACTAAATTACGTAACATATTCAAGCTCTCAGAAACTCCAATCTTTCCACTGTTCAAGTGAGTATTAAGAAACCTGGCATTTACCAAATAGTATACCTTAATCTCAGAGTATTGTCATAATTCAAAAGGCAGACAACAGAAACCAAAGTAAACATTGTGGAACACCTCATATAAATAAAAACTTGCATATGACGAACGTGTTATTCTGAGCAGCTCAGAATGCTTGTCACAGAAAGTACAAGGTAAGGTTAACAGGTTAAGTAAGAGAGACCAGCCAACTACTCGTCACAGAGAGTAGTTTTATCCCTCTTCATAAGATATTTCAACACCAGACTATGCTACAGCGCTTTAAGGAATTAAGTGGGTGGCCCTGAAAAGGGCCTTTTGCAGCAATTAAAAGCACAATGGCTTACTTAGCCGCCGAAGCCGTAGAGGGTGCGGCCCTGGCGCTTGAGCGCGTAGACCACGTCCATGGCGGTGACGGTCTTGCGCTTGGCGTGCTCCGTGTAGGTGACGGCGTCACGGATCACGTTCTCCAGGAACACCTTCAGCACACCGCGGGTCTCCTCGTAGATGAGGCCGGAGATGCGCTTCACTCCTCCGCGCCGGGCCAGGCGGCGGATGGCGGGCTTGGTGATGCCCTGGATGTTGTCGCGGAGAACCTTGCGGTGGCGCTTGGCGCCGCCTTTGCCAAGGCCTTTACCGCCCTTGCCGCGTCCAGACATGACTACACTCTGAGAAGCTGAGAGCAGATATGCTGACACTGAGCCTCAGCGCAGCCTTTTATAGTGCCTGGGGCGGACCGAAATGAGAACCTGCAGAGAGGAGGCGGGAAGTTGTGCCCGTCGCCGTGGGGGAGGGGAAGACTTTAAAAAAAAAAAAAAAAGGCGCCTCTTGTTTCCCTGTCTGTGCTTTCTAACTCCTCACCCTGTTTTAAGAGTTGAGAATCGAGCGCTCAACCAATGCACTGACATTGTACAGACTACAAAAAGCCATGCGGCTGCCTAACAACCTGTCATCCCGTTCAGAGAGGACACTGCAGGTGGCTGCTAAGGTGGTTTGGTAGTCACTGCACACGTTCTAACATGTAATCGGTGCTGTGAATTGTCTTGTTTATTTTCTACAGTGATTAAATTTCAAGTAATTTCCATTACTTAAAACTTTCAAAAGGCCATTTTAATATGTTTATATTAAACCGATTTCACAGAAGTTCAGTTTGGTTAGAACCATGCTCGCCCCACAAACTGGGAAACCCTGTCTGCTCTCCTTCCCTCAACCCCATATGCTCGGAGAAAACTCCAGGCTAACATGTTGTCACCCTCGTCAAAGAGTTTCTGGCAACCAACCCAGGCTTGGAAATGAGCAAGGCAGGGTCCAAACTCCGTCCTCAGTCACCCTTGGCGTGCCTGCTGCAAAATTTATTCAACGGGGGGGGGGGGGGGGTGGTCTCCGAAAATCCAAAATGCCTGACTTTCCTTTGTTCTTTGGCCTTGCTGAGGTACACTCCAACCAGTCTGGATGGCCACCAGAGGGCACTCCTGACTATAACATGTATCGTGATCTTGAAATTTTCCTCTGGTATAGGAATAAATGGTCTGAACTCCCTTTTGTCCACGTTATTGGGGAACTGAATTCCTGTTCTTCCCTCTGTAGGCAGTGCTCGATGGCTCAGGTCTCATTGGCCAAGGTTGCAGCGCCTCCAGACATACAAACCACCACCATCAGCCCTGACTGAGCCACCTGAATCACTGGGTCTACACCCCTTCTCTGAGTCTTGTCTACCCCTCCCCCTCCTACAATGCTACCTACGTGCTTTGTCTAGTGGTCAGCATTCTCTGTACTCAAGCCTTCTCCTTATCCACCTAACTGCCCCCCCCCTACTTAAGTCTTCTTTTCTATACCAATCCCTTCTGTCTTTGTGACAAAGCCTGTGAGAAGTCAGCCTCGCCCCCTTACCCATGTTCCTCTGCTCCGCTCTTCCCTGCCCCTCCTTTTTCTTTACAGGCTCCACCCAATGGTCAACCCTCTCCTCTTTATCCACCTCCACCCTCCTTGCAATCTGTGCCTCCTGCCTCTTCTGCGAAGCTGCAACCCACACTCTCGCCCCATACACACCCTGGCCTACTACCCCTGTATCCTCCCCTGCAGCCTCTCATACAGGGTCCCAATAAACCTGTGCTCCCTTCTGCCCTCTCCAGGAAATAGTCAGAGTTGAGCGTGTTCGAGTTCATGTTCCTTTCTCCCTCCAAGACATCTCACACATTGAAAAACTGCTAGGCTCCTTCTCTGCCAACCCATCTGCCAGTGTTAAGGCGTTCCGGTACCCTTGCCAGTCATTAACATGGCACGACCTTTATGTTGTCCAGACCTCCACTTTCACACAGACCAGACCCACCTAGTGGTCCATTAATAGTGTTGTGCTTGTGAGTCAAGTTGATGAGGAGCAGTTTTATTGACTGGCTTTGTGTGTTAACTTGACACAAGCTAGAGTCATCAGAGAGGAAGGGGCTTCACTTGAGGAGATGCCTACATAGGATGCAGCTGTAAGGCATTTCCTCGATCAGTGACCAGTGGGGGAGGTTGAGGCTCATTGTGGGTAGTGTCATCCCTGGGCTGGTGACTCTGGGTTCCATAAGAAGACAGGCTGAACAAACAATGAGAGGCAAGCCAGTAAGCAGCACTCCTCCATGGCCTCTGCATCAGCTCCTGGCCTCAGCCCTGCTTGAGTTCCTGTCTTGACTTCCTCCAATGATAGATTGTGATCTGGATGTGTAAGCCAAATGAACCCATTCCTCCCCAACTTGTGTTTTGGTCATGGTGTCTGGCCACAGCAGCAGAAACCCTAAGACACCACATCTCCTGTCTAAAGCTCAGCTATGCTCTCCTGCTATAATATACTTGGACGTTCAACTTATCCAGGGCTCTAAGTCCTTCATCTCCAACTGCGTGGGGCTTGAGGGACTTAAAGCCCCTAACTATGGTGGATCAGATTCTTTCATTTTTTTGGGCCTGGTTGGGTTCTTCAGACATTGCATCCCCAATTTTGCTATTATGACTAAACCACTATACCAAGTGGCTAAGGGAACACCTGACGGGACTCTCACTCACGTGGCTATGACTTCTTTCACAGTCTTCTAGGCCCTACTACCTCTTTATTGATGAGAGGCTGGAGGTAGCAAGAGATGCTGTTGTGGCCCAACCTTTTAATTCCTCCCACTGAGCTGTTGCTTTTCTGTGTAAACAATTGGACTCTACTGTGTGCAGGTGGGAGCCATTTCTGCAGGCCCTAGCAGTGGTGGCTGAACTCTCCCAAGAGGCCCTCATGATCACCATGCTTCAGCCTCTTACTTTATATGTCATCCAATACCTCTCCAATCCCCTGAGACATTTCCTTCTCCCTCTCCCTCTTCCTCTCTCCTTCCTTCTCTTCCTCCCCTCCCGCCCCACCACTCTCTCTCTCCCTGGATCTTCATGGGTCCAGACCTTTCATCTGTTACTCCTGGAAAATTTCCAGGTCACCTTGGCCCCTAGACCTGCTTTAAACCTGGTCACCCTTCCTGTTCCATTCTCTTCCAATACCACTTCTGCCCACTCCTGCTAGAGGAGGGGAACCCTATGCTCACCCTGACACAGCCTCTTAGACCCTCTCACAAACTCACAACTCATCCTTTGTGTGGATGGAAGTTCCCTTTTAGATAACTCAGGAACCCCCAGCCAGCTTATGTGGTTGTTACCTCAGCTGAACCAGTTGAGGCAAACCACTTCCCAATGGGAGCCTCTTCACAAAAGGCTCTAACCCGCTCACTCCATATTGGACAACATGGTGCCATCTACAGTGATTAGAAGTGTGCCTTTCTAATAGCTCATAGTCACTCTGTCCTGTTTCCACAAAAAGAAAGGGGTTTCCTCATACCCAAGGGCACTCTTGTTGTGCCCTGGTGTCTTTACAGCCATGCTCTTAGAGGCCCACCAACTCCTAGCAGAGTTGGCCATAATTCACTGCCAGGAGTATCTCTAGAAACCCAGTGGCTCTGGGAAATTGCAGGACTGTCTCAGGTGTCTGGGATTTGGCTTCCAGCTCCTCTAGACCCATGGGTCACATCCTCTTCCTGACATCCTCCTACAAACCTCAGTACCAAATGGAGGAAAGAAACAAATCTTTGGCAAAGAGGCCACACGGGAAAAGATGAATGCCTTTCCATGAAGCACTGCCTTATTCTTTGTCAGAAGCAGGCACCATGGGATATTCTGTGGTTGGGATCAAAGGGGTGTCTGACTGTCTCCTAAGGGACATCGACAACTCAATGGTGTCACTGGTCTTCCTCCAGTGTCAGATCACTTTGGTGGCCCAGGTGTCCATGTAGAACAGGAGAGCATTGGAGCTCTTCACAGCAGACAAGGGAGCAGCTGCATGTTCTTGGGAGAAGATTGCTGTTACTCTATCAATGAACATGGTCTGCTAGAAACTCCACAAATTGTCTGAAGTCACTCCACAAATTGTCTGAAGCAAATACAGGCAGGGCACATCCCTGTTCCAGTCTTTCTGGCAGTCTTCTTCTTCACATGGCTAGCTCCCCTCACAGGGCTGGTGATAATCACCTGTCTATTCGTTCTCCTAACACTTTGCATCCTTGATTTTTTCAGGAACAGATTGAGCACGGGTCCACAGACTCCCGACTCTTCAACCTCATGCCATCCCTCTTCAGCAGCAAGTAGCCAGATCTGAATCAGTGCCCCTATCACCAAAGAGGTTAGGATGTTTGGTTGGAAAACCTGCTTGCGTTTCCTGCATAAGCTGGGAACCCCCCATCTGCTTTCTTTCCCTCAACCCCACCTCCAGGGAGAAAACTTAGGTCTAACATGCCGTTATCTACTCAAGTGTGCCTGTTTAGAGGCTCAGCTTTTGACCATATATGGGCACAATCCAAGCTCCTAGCTGACAGTCAGTTATCATCCCTCACCTAAGACCTATAAATCCCCCCCTTGCCTTGGTCTGGGTGCATGATTTCCCTGGCCCTGTCTTTATTTTTAATTCCATCTATTCTGGCCCATATTGCATTGGCAGAAAAATCTAATATTCACAACTTAGATTTAAAAATTTATATTTAATTTCTCTTGACAGACGGAGGCTGACTATTACTGGTAACACTGAGTAAAATTCTATTCTTTAATTTAATCAATATTTCTTGGCAGAGGGACCCTACAGTGCCTACAGTGATACGGTTTAAACTGGTGTGGAAAAAAAAGTTAAAAGTGATAATGTGCACTTAATATTCAGTTATAACCATTTAAGCATGTGCTTTAAGAAAGCTCATACATTTAATCAATACATGCTAATGAAGTCTTTTCCTATGATAAAGTATGTATTTCTGACCATACTCTAAAATTTAAATACTTTATTTAATTTGGAGAATTGGTATTGTTGACCAAAGACCAACTTTTCATCACTGGGGGTGGGAGATTCTTTATTAGGGAGCCAAATATGAGTGACTGTGGCCCCCAAAACGTAGCTTTAGTTGCTTCAAATTCCAAATTCCACATTCAGTGAAGTAGCTATTCCTTGAACTTTTTATAGTAACAGAACTAAGAAAATTATAACCCAAGGCATTTAAAAATATATTAGTCTGTATATGAAATCATTGTCAGGTTCAAAAAATACTCCATTTCTTAAAATTCCAAAAGCCAGCCCATATATCTAGTACTGCACTCAATCTGAACTGTAAGAGAATTTTTATTGGTTAGATA